TCTCCATCTTTCAAGTCCAAGAGGTTGTAGCTGATAGCATGACGCGGTGTGTGTGGGGGGGGGAGGTGCGCAGGCGCCACACATCTGACCGCTCAAGTTAAGTGGCCAAATAGGAAACTCAGGGCCATACTCCAGGAACCCTCTGCACTTCAGTGGAGAGTCAAACACCTGTGCTTGTGGCTTGTGTGTCACCACTAGGGGTCCCCAAGCAGCAAGCGATGTGAACTGGGAATTGGGTAGCTGAGGCGGCCTCCCTTTGTCTGCACCCCAGGTGTGGACTCCTTTTGTTCAGAGGCTGGGCTGCTACCTGCAGCATCTGAGCTGTCTGCCGGGTAACCCCATCCTGGGCCCCCTGCACACCCCTTCTGAGGACACAGAGGGTTTCTCAGTTTCTGCCTCTAGTTGTGCCCGATGTCACCCCCAAAGAGCTAATGTTTCCCTTTAACAGGACTAAGAACCTTTGTGTTAGAAACACAGCTTCAACTACAAAGGGAAATATTTCTCACTACAACAAAGAGGCTATCGATGTTGGGAAATTGATAGCGAAAAGACCAATTTCCAGGGTACAGTGGAGTATTCGCCATAAAATATTTAAAGCTAGTTGACAGATAGCCCCACTATTCTTCTGTGAATGCCGGCCACTGGATTAATCTTGAAAGTAAGGAGTATTTCATTCTGTGTTTAGCACAGAGGAAGGGAATGACCTTCACGAAGAAACACCCCAGAGTGCCTGAAACATGGGAGCCCGGCTCCGACCACGACAGCCACATTCACCCTGTGGTGTTTTCTTGTCTGCTTTTAAACTTCAAAGGAACAGCAGAACAAAAATAAACAAATTACAACAACGTAAGAGCGACTCTGTAAACAATAAATTATACCAGCTGAAACAGCCGGTGATTGGAGGTGGGGATTACAAATATTTGCTCCATCAAAATTTTACTCTTTTAGTCTCGCCATTTCAGTTTTTCTTGTTCACAGCACAACAGTGTCATTGCATGTCGTCGACTTCTTTTTGTGCTCCAGACCTGTTGTCACCTTGTTGTCTGGTGGTCAGAGCTACTGATGTGAGAAGTCATTGGTGAACATGAGAACCCTTCATGGATTTATTTCTTAGTTTCTTAGTTTACTCCTTTATTCCATGAATATCTCCTAGCACCTATTGTGTGTAAAGAAAGCATTGTAGGGAATACAAAGGCTGGCCATATAGGGATCCTGCCCCTCGGGGAAACTCTTAATAGAGTATGGAGCTAAAATATGTTCCAAAATTACCATCAAAACAAACCAGAGTATCTGGCAGCTTAGAGGTATAGGGGAAAGACAAGAGGAATTCAGTAGAAGGAAAGCTGGATTCTGGCTTAGGGATCAGGGAAGATTCTCCAAGAAGGTGCGTTCTACTACACCTTCAACAGAACATAAGCTCCTCAGCAGGGAGAGCGCCAGAAAAGGCCAATGCTGCCAGCCCTGAGTGGTTCTGGGCACAGGGAGAAGGGGTTGTTGCATGTATGAAGGGGAGAACAGGAAATATGTTTGGAGAGGGAAGATGGGAAGGCTTTAAATGCTAAAGTAGCTTTCATGCTATCAGACTGGTAACTGCTAATCCTCAATAAAGCAAATTATTAACAAAATTCCTTTCATTCCATAAGTCTTTTAATACCTGAAGAAAGAAGGTAGATATATCTTTTAAAATTTTTTAAAGTTTTATTTATTTTTTAGAGACAGAATGGGAGCTAGGGAGGGGCAGAGAGAGAGAGAGACAGAGAGAGAGAGAGAGAGAGAGACAGAGACAGAGAGAGAGACAGAGAATCCGAAGCAGGATCCAGGCTCTGAGCTGGCTGTCAGGACAGAGCCCAACGTGGGGCTCGAACCCATGAACCGCGAGATCATGACCTGAGCTGAAGTCAGACGCTTAACTGACTGAGCCATCCAGGCGCCCTGAAGGTAGACATATCTTTAAAATATCCTACTTTTCAAATAGACCTAAGATTTTTGTAGCACCAATATTCCCTTTTCCACCGACAAATTGGCATTCGCTAGAATGAATGCACATGAATGAATGAATGAATGAATGAAATGTATGAATATCCTTATTGTTTCATCTGGAGAAATGCTTTGGAAGCTTCACAAATAGGTTCACGAGCCTACTTCATGAGGAGTGGTTAGCATCATATTTCAGCCACCTCCTCCAGACTTACTGATATTGTAAACATTTTTTTTTTTTTAACAGGGAACAGCCAGCCTTAGGCCTCTGAATCTAAGGAAAGTGATAGCGAGTAATCACACCTGCTGACTTCTCCATTTGTTGTGGCTTTAACAATCTAAATTATTGATTAACTTTCAGATTTTCATTCTGAACCTAGAGCTTTCCATTTGTTCTTCAAGATAATAGGTCTCGGAGTCCTGCTCTGCCTCATACCAACAAACTAAGTTTCCCTAGTCATCTTGTTTTTATTCAGTAGACCTGTTTTTTGGCCTTGTATCCTTCTGGCCTCTGAACCCTGTGGAAAAAAGTTAGTCTCAGTTTTATTCTGCTTTTGTACAGCACAGGGTGGCCTTGGGGTAGTGCCTTCCCAGCAAGTGCACTTTTTTCCCCTTCATCTGTCAATTTGAGATAATAAAAGTAATCTATTTCACGGGGCCATGCTTTACTTTCCCTAACTAACGACTGCAAAGCTCTGTGAAGGTAAATGTTGTCATCCAACTACAGAAATAGAATTTAACATCCTTTTGTGAGACTTCAGAGATGAATAATGAAAGCTGTTGTGTATTTCTCAGTTTGGGACAAGAAAGATACAAACCTGGGGCCAAATATGACACATTTCCCTGACAGAAGAAGTCACTGCTGATTAGTTATCTCCAGATGCAATGGAGAAAGCAGAAGTTGTTTGGATCATAGGTTTGATCTTTCAAATGCATAATTTAAAAGTCACTTACAGAACACGTATCATTTCATTGAATCCTCAGAACACCTTATATTATCAGGATTTGGGTTGCTGGTGGAGAAACTGAGACTCAGTGAGTGTAGGTAATTTGCTCAAGGTCACGTAATAAATGATGGAACCATAGTATGCATTCATGTGTTGTCTTTCTTCTTCAAACTGAGAGAGTGTCATCCTTACTAGGCAACAGAGCTAGGTCAGTCCACCATCTAAAGATCTGGAGGGATCCATAGATTACTAGTTAAGTGGATGAGTCTTTGATCAGAAAAAGTTTGAGAAAACAGGAAGTCAGTTCTGATGGAGAGCTTAATGTGGTGATGGACCATATATCCCGGAAGGACTCTAGGTTAGGCTGCAGCAAGGCTGCACTGTACAAAAGGAAAGAAAAAGGGGTGCTCGGGTCTCCTTATGCCAGGCAGGGATGTTCCAAATTCCATGTAGAGGAGGGTCAGGAAGTCTCAATGTGGCTGAGGAGGGCTCAGTAAACTGCATTTAAAAAAATGAGCCTTAATGGGAAGACAAACGGGGATGGCATCCTGAAGGGAATTAAAAAAAAAAAAAAGGTTTAAATCAACTAGAAAATGTGACACGAGTGCATATTATGATTATTCAACATTTTTCACTGTACTTTGCGTGCATGGTTGATGTGGACCCCCTAGGACTGCCGGCTGTGCCCGTGTCACTCCTGATAATTTTTAAATCGACTATGTCCTTTTAACCACGTTTTGAAAAATTGAACTGCCCCAATGTGAGCACTTTCCACTTTGCTACATAATGAGAGTACTTTTCATTCCTTTAGTGTTTGCTTTTTCCTTTGATCTATCAATTTCTGTTCAAATTTCACAGTTTTCTGTTGCTTCAGGATTGAAAGAACCGATTACCCTGCTGGGAGCCTGAAATAGAGTTAAAAAAAAAATCCGTATGATATTTCCCCCTGGTGAAATTAATTAAGGCTTAAATACAAGGGGGAAGGGACACACCTGTGCTCAAGTCTCTTCCTCTCCCACACCTAAGCAATTCCTTATCCTGAAAAGCCACAGTTAGACCTGCCGCCAAGTCTTTTGTGAGGATCCTTTACCAGACAAAGTCAGAGAACCTCTTTCTCTTGACACCGGCTTTGTGTGGGCCTGATGACATATTTGGAACGTCTCTATCTCTTTGAAGGGCAACCTCAAAAGCCCAATGGATCCGTTAGTCACTGTCCGTGGCTGGGGTACTTAAGAGCACCTGGTTGGGGCTTCCTCGGTGTTTGGAAGGTGTTCTCGGAAACACACCTTCTGGCGGGGCAGGGACCGTCGGCTCCAGAGTAACAAAGGACAATTTGGAAGGGAGCGGAAGGAGCGCTCCACCTGCCTCTCTGGCACCCCAGGCCCCTTTTTGCCTAGCACCGTGTCCTTAAGGACCTCGCCTTTGCCCTCTGTATCCCCCACCGCGGCTGTCTTCGCCGCTCCTTAGCCTGGCCACGGACAGCGAGACTTCTCCCCACTCCCGGATGCCTCCAAACCGTGGAGCCAGCCCCGCGCCCCCCGGCGGCCTCCCCGGCACCTTGGGGTCTCGCGCCCGGGTCGAGCGTCCCCCCCGCCCTGCGGTCTTCAGCCTCCTCCTCCAGCCCCAGTCGCGGGAGCTGTCAAGCCCGCGGCAGCTGAACCAGCCCCCGAGCTCCCGCGTCTCCTCTCCTTCCTTTGTGTGCGCGCGAGCGGAGTCGGGGCGGAGGGAGAAGGGGGAGGTCGCTCTGTCTGGCTCCCGCCGCCTTTGCCCGGGCTGCTCGAAGTGCGGCCGGCGAGGCGCGAGCCCGGGGGAGGGTGCGGGAGCCGGCGGGGCGCCTCGCGGCCGCCGGGGCGCGGTGGTCCCAGCCGCGCGCGAGCGCGCGCCGACCGCAGCTGGGGCTCCGCTGGAGGCGCGATCAGTCCGCTCGGGCCGCCCCCCCGGCTCTCCCTCCGCTCCGATCTACCCACTGACACCCAGAGAAGAGCGTGCAAAGGCGCCGAGAGGGACGGAAACCACAAATAAATAGCGGCGGCAGCAGCGCGTCATCTGGTGGAGCAGGAAGTGCAGGCAGAGTCCGGAGGCTGGTGCTTTCTGCGCGTCCCCAGGACTTTGCCATGGGCTGGGGGCCGCGGAGGCTGCGAGCGGCCGGGCGAGGGCAGCGGCGGCGGCGTCCGCACCGGGGCTGAGCCAGCAGCGACGCGCGGGGCGCGCGGAGATGGCAGCGTCCAGCAACTCCAGCCTGTCCGGCTCCTCGGTGTCCTCGGGTGAGTTCCAGCCCGTCGGACGCGGCGGCCGCGCTGGGTCTCTCGTCCCCTGCCTCCGTCCCTCACCCGGGGAGGGGTAGAGCCTACCTGTGGCCGTCCTGCCCCCTCTCTCGGAGTGAGGGCAGGCGTCCGGGGTGACACTTGTTTGGTTTGCCCGCACCGTGGGCGCCCCCAGCACCTCTGCGCCTGACATCTGCCAGCGCAGAGGTGGGAGAGCTGTGGCGCCCTTAGTTTGCGAACGCGAGCCTCCTGGGGACTTGGGGAGCAGCAGGCGAGAGGCGAACCGAGCAGGGCAGGCTCGCACTTTCTGGCGCAGCTGGAATCTGGGCTAGCGGGGCGCGGGAGGCTTGGGTGACGCTGGGAGCCCCGGCTCGCTGGCGGCGCGCCGCCTGCCAGGCTGGGTGCCCAAATCCCAGGCTGAGGGGAGAGAACCCTCGCTCCTCGCAGACTTGATTTTCTTTGTTTGTTTCAGAAATTAGCTCCGTGGAGACACAAGCTTGGGGCATGGCTTGAGATAGAAGTAAATGAAGGGATTCTGTCTTTCTGGTCCTGATTGAAGCGAGTTAGAGGAAAGGAGGTCGAGCCCAACCTCTGCCAATTTGCCAGTTTACAAGTGTGTGTGTGTGTGTGTGTGTGTGTGATTTTCCTATGTGGCCTCTTGAACATTTTCATATAATACTCTCCGTGATTTCACTTTCCAGGCATACATTTTGTTTTCAAGTGTGGCTGAATAAGGGGAGGGCTTCTTTCAGCTTTTTAATGGTTGATCAGCAGGACTAATTGAAGAGGAAAAAAACTGCTAATGAATTGGAAGGAATAAGAATCAACAGAACCAGACCCTCTGGTTTCTGAGTATGACAGGTTTCTAATCAGAATGATGCATTAGGTAGCATTCTTCTACCTCTCTGGTCATTGAAAACTTTAATGACAAACCTTAAAGGCATAGCTGATCAGACATTCAGCGTAGTGTGCAGCATTGAGGGGTCAAGAAGGTCTTGAAGTCCTAAGGAAAATACTCAGTATGTTAATATCGTATTAATTCCTGTTGTGTGTTTTTTACTACATGCCCTAAAAATTAAACTCCGAGGAAGAAACACCTTGGTGGGGATATTGGACAGCAAGCCAGTCATAAATCAGCCATATCTATAGATGTGTAACTAATTTAATCATACAAGGCAAGTTTGACTAAGGTGCGATTGTGATGTGGCCCAAGGTGATCCCTTGAAAGCCATCTGTTATCTTTTTGGCAGGTTTAGTTCCAGGGAAATGGCACTTCCTTTCTTGATCACTGCCAACTAATCAAAAGCACAGTGTCGTTAGGCATATGATATAGTTCAAGTTTCTGGTAGTAGCAGCCAATGGGGCAGAACAGTCCTATCTTATTAAGAGCAGCAACAAGTTGACCGCGTGTGGTTTTAATTCTGAGAACTCAGCAAATGCTACGGTGTATTTTTAGTATCCCCAAACCACGGCTGCTGCTTTTCAATTCAATTTGGTTGACTAACATTGAATTTAAAGTACAGTGATGTTGGCTTACTATTAGCATATAGTTATCCCGCTCAGAAAACTGTCCACTAGGAAAGGAACCGGTGGGGGAGAGAGGAGGCAATGGGAAAGAAGAATGGAGAAGAGACCAGGAGGCAGCATTCTCACATGATTTACTGATGCAGAAATTACAGACATGTGGCACCTGAAAGTTGAGCTCTTGGTGTAGCTGAAGAAACCTGATGAAGAAATTGAACTCATTACGTTCATTAAGAAGAACACGTGGGTTTGAAGTCCCACAGACATTTTAGATGGTGGTAATCTCCTTGCAGATAGGATACAGATGCTTCTGATGGTTCTCCTTCCTGCTTTACTTAACAGTTTTTTGAATCCTAATGGGAACTGGGAAATTAGGTAGACACCAAGATTCAGAAAGTGGGCAAGGATATAGTACTTGATGTAGATCAACCTGGCCCATGAGCTTCTGTGGCTTAATACCCCAATTAGTCAAGACACTTTATCTTGAAAAATACAAGAAACCTTAGTTCCTCTTTTTAAGCACACTTACCATGGTGTGGATCATGAATAATTCAGGTGGTGCAAGTAATTCACACCTGGGAGAAGTGTTGGGCACTGAAGAATGGAACCCATTTGTGGCGTCAGCTGTGTTCTCCCAGGCAAAGGCCAGAGTCTGAGAAAATAGGGCACTCCAATCTATTAATTTTCACAGAGGACCTACTATGTGCCAGGAAGTAAGTTATAAGCCTCAGCCGCGAGGAGGCTAAGTGAGGAAGATCATTTTAGGATTCCTTCTAGTTTTGAAGTTCTGGGATTATTGCTGAGTTCTAGCTGCACCCCCTGACCAGCTGGGTCATTGGAGGTGAATTAACTCAACTTCTCCAGGCCTCAATTTCCTCGTCTGTAAAGGAGGCTACTGCTAATCAAGGACCTACTTAGAGGAATGCTGTGTGGACTAAATGAGATACTGTGTATACAACATTGAGCACAGGGCACGGTATTTAGTGTTTGGGTGAATAAATTTTGCTCCTTTGAGGAATGAAATAGAAAGCACTTCATGGTCAGACTTTAGGCACAGAAATAAGTCCAACACATATAAAACTTGCCTCTTATATTGCACGCTAAATTTGGTCTTGAGGTTTTGGTTCCATTAAATAAACATTGTTAAGTGTATTTTAGGTTTCGGGCATTGTCCCAAGTGTTTGGAATAGATGAATCAAGGTCCTTTCCCTCACCATCAGCAGAGGTGGGCAACAAATAGTAGTCTATTCCAGTTGGATAAAATGAGTTATGTGGAGGAGAGTACAAGAAGGAGAGTGATTCCTTCAGTCTGCAGGGGTCAGTGGAGGTGACCTATGAATTGGGGCTCAAAGGGTACATGGGATTTTTCCAGAGAGGAGGAGGCAGGGGAAGGCATTTCAGGAAGAGGGAAGAGCTTCGGCAAAGGCCTGGAGATGGGCTAATTTTTAGCTTCCTTTCTTAGGGCTATTGATCCATTTTCGAGGTGGTGTCTCTGGACAGTTATGCTTCTAGACCCATAAGCAGCATCACACGTGGAGGGACTACATCACTTACTCTTGGTGCTGATGTAAGAGGTTTTCTTTCTGTTCAGGTGGCAATGGGTTTGATGGAACAGCTCTGGAAGCCTAAGGACGTGTTTGGGCGATTGAGCAGTAAAAAAGGAACTGTTGATTTTATAGTGAATAACATATGGAGAGGTGAACTCAAATAATATGGGTTAAACCTCCCTTCGAGGAATAGATGTGGAAGATTTAGGTTTGGTTGTGTTTGCAAAGAGAGTAAAGAGCTAATAACTCACTCAGCATTAAGCTCAAAGTTCTCTGATCTTTGTGAGAACACATTTTCACCTGCTGGTGTTAAATCACACCACCCACGTGTGCCCTTCGTTCTGCCTTATCAACTGAGACACAACAAATGAAATAATCAGGTTAAAATAAATTTTTAAACACATTTTCCAAGAACTGTTCAGAAATTTTCTTCTGGAATATTCAATTATGTGTAGAAGAAACTGCTTTGCCTTTGTTTTAATGATAACTGCCAGTAATTAAATTTCACAATCACCTAGATTGGCAGGATGGTTTGATTACCTTTATTGTTTTAAATGGGGGAGAAAACTCACTATCCTTATGCTTTTACTCTAGCCTGTGGTACTTGATCATATTCTGAAATAAACAATGGTTGATTTGCAAAATAGTTTTCTTAATAATAATCATGGGTTATATTTGCTTTTATAATTGAAATAAGAACTTTTTGCATTTTTAGTGATTTGATTGCCAAATGGTAATTTCAGTGTTTAAAAAAAAACAACTCAAGTAAAGTAATAAAGAAGCTCTGAGATCTTTTCCAGTAACTGAACAAGGTAAAAATTAAATATTAAAGGGACCCCTGGGATACGAAGTTGTTAAGATTTTGAGAACGTAAACACACTGTATTATAGAAATGAAATCAACCTAGACTTTTTAAATTAAAATGCAAATGGAAAAAGGTAAAAATCAGTATTTATGTGCAGAATCATTGAAACCTTAATTGGGAACAGAACATTCCTGAATGGATTGAGGGACTTAGTCCTCCAGGTTTTGTACAACAGTAATGCAGGCCAAATAACGCTATTTTCTGCTGTCACACTAGCTTGATCCTAGAAGTGATAAATAGGAATTTTCATTACCCATTATTGGAGGGTCAGCACCAGTGACATATACAAATCTTTCATTCCCTAGATGCAGGAGGTGAAACTGAACTACAATAATGCTGCCAAGACATATAGGTGTGATTATAAACTCCATGGATCCAGTGCTACAAAATAGGGTATCTTTGTTGAAACAGACATTGACACTGACAAATCATCTTTTGAATCCCTGAATGATTCAGAAATAATCAATTTTGTCTAAAAAAAACCTTTCTTTACCTTTGTTTTAGTGACAACTGCTGGTAATTTAATCTCAGAATTACCTAGAGGGTCAGGAAGGCTTGGTTACTTTTGTTATTTTAAATCACCAAAAAAAAAATTGCAAATGAAAAAAATCACAAAGCTAACACTAACATCCTGAAAAAAGTCCTACACTTCCTTTTTTGTTTCTTTTAATGTTTATTTTTGGTAGATAGAACACAAGAGGAGAGGAGAGAGGGGGACACAGAATGTGAAGCAGACTCCAGACTCTGAGCTGTCAGCACAGGGCCTGATGCGGAGCTTGAATCCATAGACCATGAGATCATGACTTGAGCCGAAATAGGACGTTTAACCGACTGAGCCCCCCAGGTGCCCTGAAATCCTCCACTCCCATGAGGAGCACTGTTCTTTGCTATTTTTCTAGTGACCTTCCCACACTTCATTTTTACTTATTAGATTTTTCACGGTCCCTTTGTGGTGACCCAGATGAACCCAGTGATAAACTGAGAGGAAGGACTCTTTACTGTATGTTTGCTGGTTTTGACAAGGGCCCACAGAAATGTGTGCTTTTACTAAAACGCCAGGTCTC